TGTGTGACTTGTAGACCAGGTACACAAATTCAAATTTTAACTTTTGATGAATTCATAACCAGTCTTTAAGGGAGCTGTCTGACAATTTCCCCCTGCTCTCTCTCTCTTTCTATCACTCTTTCACTCCCTCCCTCCCCCCCCCCCTCTCTCTCTCTCTCTCCCTCCCCACCCCCATCCCTCGCTCTCTTTCTCTCCCTCCTTCATTCTCTCTCTGAGGTGGTAGCGTTGCGTGGCTGTCTCGTACAAAAGGGAGTCCAAGGGCGCGCCGAGCGGTGGCACGCGTAGGAAGAGATTCCCAGAGGGAGCCGTCCGGGTGAGCCCGTGACCCGGGGTCAAGTGTCTCGTAGCATTGAAGAGTGAGTTGCAGGTCACTAATGCTGGGGGACGTGGCCAGCTAACCCTGGTTCCTCAGATCGCTCGGCATACGCTATTAACCGTCGTCCTCGACGGGATGGTGCTGGCGTTCTCTGAACACTGAGGGCAGAGACAGGAGGGCAAAACAGTGGGGGGGGGGGTGATAGCAAGGGACGTAAGATATAATCAAAATATATCAGATTGCAATGAGTGTTATTCCAATTATTTGTATGAATTTTAAATTTCACAAGAACCGTCTTAAACGACTAACTTCCTTGGGAGAAAACGAAAATGCAACAATGCAGAGTTCAGCAGTGTGCAGTGCAATAATGCATACAGTATACGTCTGACTAATAGTAAGTAAATGTTCTACCTCATTTCATTGAAATTGTGTATCACACGTCAACAGCAGTTATTCGAGGCAAAGCAATAATGAAATTAGGGAATGCAGTCCTCATAAGGCCTTTTTTCCGGTGACAAGAGGTGTAGTACTACAGATTCCCATGACTCCGCCCCTATTTATGGGGGCGGAGTCATATATAAGCAACTGCACCTGGCTGATGAGAGTGCTGAGCACGTCTGCTCGTTTTAAAACTGGAAGAAAATGGGAAGTTCAAAGTTGATGCTGCAGTGTATGGTGCAATATTAGTATCTTTGATGATGTTAATGAGGATATTATTGCACTAAGTACTAGTTTGAAAGTATTTACGCGCGCGTGTATATGTGTTCATATATGCATATATATTATACATACAGAAATGTATATATACATACATACCTATATATATACAGTATACACACATATATATTTAAACATATGTATACACACATGCATATATATATATATATATATATATATATATATATATATATATATATATATATATATATATATGATATATATGATATATATATATATATGCATTTATGTATGTATATGTATATATATATACATATATGCAGAAATATATTAAAAGTATACACTACTACCATATATAATAATATAGAGTTTAAGGTTTATATGCTTTCGTATTAATTAATAGGGCTACGGCCAAGAAGAGCGAGGTTCAGATTTATCTTTCGTATGTGTCCATTTTTATGTGATATGTCATGTAAGGCTTGTTACTGTTTTTCTTATATCATTTATGCTTTAATCTTGGGCAATATTCAGGCCTCCAAAAGTGTTCCATGACGAATAATATACGGGGAAGTATTTCATGTTTTATTTACAGAATGTGTTCGAATGGTCAAAAGAATAGTATGAAAATTTATATTAGGTTTTACATACTCATTTTACTTACTATGTATATATAATTGAATATGCTAACGTAAACTTATATATCCTTCTGAATGTAGTTGATATCAATCAATAAGTTGTGTCATTTTCAAAATATTTAAAGAAGTGTGACCTTCGAAACCATTGTCGATGGACGAATGAAGAAGTATGATGGGAGGCGCTTAGGGCCCGTTTATTTTCAACTGATTTCAATAGTTTTCTGTCGTTTGATTTGTAATTTGAAGATGTTGATAACTAACAACTTGTATTTATTGTTATTTCCTAATGTTACATCAGTAAACCAGTGATTTGTTAATTGATACAATTCAAAAACAAAATCAGATTCGTCAACTCGAGTACAATTCCTAGGAATGGGGTGGAGCCGCACCTGTGGCACAGCGTAGAAGCATCGGCAGCGTTGCTGTCGCGATCGGCCCGGAGAAGTGTCGCAAATGAAAAAAACGACACCCTCTAGTGTAGTTAGACAGTTTCTTGGGACCGGAAAAAAGGCCTATAGTTTCGGGAGCGACTCATTACATCAAATATACTTTCTCTAGACAACATTTCCATGATAAGTACATAATGTAAGGGAAGAATACACACTTGGTGCAAGTCGATTATCTTCTCAGAAACAGTACGCATGTAATTCTTGTGCAATTAACAGGTTTGTACAAGGTGATGTGCCTATGTGGCTGCATGAATGGTGATTAGACTAGTTGAGTAAGTGAAGGGGTGAGTTATGAAATGAGCAAACCAGAGTATAGCACATGCATAGAAAACATTAGTGTTCAGATTAGATTTAGAAATATTAAAATGCAGATCAAAGAGAGACTGAGTAAAAAAAGGAATAGGGTGGCGAGGAAGTTGGAATAATTAAGCAAAGGGTAAGAGGAGTGGGTGGGTGTGTGGCTAAGGGAAGGGTGGGGTGGGGAGGGGGTGGTAAAAGAGGTATGGGTGAGGATGGGCGGGGGTGGGAATATGGGTTGAGCTCAATGAAAATAATTGCCGATCTGACTACACGAAAAGAACATTCACACTAACAACAATAGACTTACAGTAATTGCAACATAAATCAACAACTATGCGAAATCATGAAAATGGTACTTTAATTAGTATGTAAAATCAATGAAATGGTGACAGGTCTGTTGCATAACAGACTAAGGCTTGCAGAGCAATGCATGATGCAAGCTGGTATGGGTCACTTTCCCATGGACAACTGACAGCTCAAAGACAACGCTTGTGGGTGTAAATAATATATACTTAAAAAAAATTCCTGAGGAAAAGTGATGACGGACCCAACCGTAGAAGGGATATATCATTGATGAGCAGAACGCAAATTGGGTATCCTATCTCGTTGGGAAGTTGTATGAGAAAGGGCACGGCGAGGCCCTAGTTCGCTCTGGCGATAAGTGTGCTTCGGCACATACAGAACTTAACACTAATAATGGTGAAATGAGGTGCGTGATTAAGGTTGAATAATGAAACCATTTTAAAATCAAATCAGCATCATAACGATTATCGTAAGAAAGGAAAGAAATTGAAAATCGTTAGGATGACCGAGGTAATTTAGCATGTATCGATGAATCATGAGAGCGAAAATCAAGAACAGTATGAAATCATAGTAGCTGGTATAAACTCTAACACTGAGAGAACACAAACACAAATAGCCTGAATGTATTTTTTCAGTCGAGGAGTCAGATGGCTATAAGTAGGTACCTTTTACTTGAGTGAGGTCATTATCCAAATATTAGATCAAAATAGCAAGAGTTATTAGATATAAAATTAAATGTGAAAAAAATAAGTATGCAGTGATCGAAAAATTAACCATTCAAATTACCAATAAATGGAATTCAAACGTGAATAATTAAAGAAAGAGGTATATCTATAAATAAGATGAATAATGAAGGCAAAATATACTTCAGAATGTCCACAAATATACTATAGTAATAACGTACAGTCACACAATGTAATATGATGAATTTATTATTATGGCTCTCAGTTATATTCATGCAAGCCTGAAAATAATTTATGGTAAATCATTTGATAACGAAAAAGAACAATGACTATCGCATTGCTAATTCACTTTATTAAAATTATGTTATGCAAAATAAGCTGAAATGCAGGAAAATATCAAGGCTAACACGGGTCATTAAAAAGTGAGGTATCATCATCGTTTGACAGGACCTAACCTGATATGACCTGAACAACTATGTGTCAAGTGGCTTGCACCAAAACATGATTATAACACTTTATACATAAAAATTCTGAAGTTAATATTAATATGAACATACTAATGAACAAGGCACATGTTGCTTGTATAAATATAAATACGAAAAGAAAAAAAATATAAACATCAAGATAATATCGGATAATAAACCTAAGAATCACAAGGGCACAAAAGATCAGGAAGGCAGGTCACTCACGGTCAAAATGTGATCATTCAGACAAGGGTAGGTTGAATGAAGGATATATCTATCAAATTGAACACATTCTTTAAACATTTAAAAGATATGACATAAGTAAATACCCCAACGTAAATTATTTGCACACTAGTGGCCTGAACAGATAGAATGAGAATAGGTAGAGAGGGAGGGGAAATAACGGGTGGTGGCTAGGAGAGAGGGGGGGGTATAAGAGAAAGGGATGGTAGGGGATGGGGGTAGGTGGGAAGCGTGGGGAAAGAGAAACTTTTGTTTGTGCATAATTCAGCTAAATTATTTAAATATTAAAAAAAAATCCCACAAATGCATAATCAAACCAAGCCGAGTTAATGCATTTAATAATAATAGGCGACTTGAACGTAGAGATGGCGTCGGTTAACGAGCGAGAGATAATGAGAATAAGAAAAAAATGTCAAGAATATGGCAATGCTTAGGACTCTAGTCATGTGACCTAGAATGTCCGTAGAAACAGATGATAATTTAGAGAGAATGCACGCTATATTTCACCCACATAAATAAAAGATTTAAGGATTTTTAACGATTTATGCTAACTAGGCGAGTATATTGAGGAAAAAACACGAAATAACTTGTGATAAAAATGGGGATTGATTCCCTTAAAAAACGATAACATACCCTGCCGAAAAAACATGGTAGATAGCAGAAAAAAATCAAAGGAAATGCACTTTGCACGGACACGTACGACATGCACACATGGAAGAAGAAAAGGGAGAGAAAGGAAATTAAATGCCCATGGTGTACTTACAAGTTTTCGGAAGAGGAGGTGATCAAGCAGGTGAATCTTGTAGGAGGCTTGGAGTTCTTGTCGCAGCTGGATAGAGCGACATCCCGCTGTCTGGCACCAGTTTGTCAGGGTTTTGTTTTCCCCTGACTTTGGTGGGTGTATGGAGACAAAATTCTGCATTGGCTGT